GGCAACAGCCATCTTTACACAGAAATGAAGAACATGTGAACAGTTGCAAACACTTCCCTATTAGAAATACTTTTTATCTATTAAAGTATAATATTGTTTATAATTTGTTTGGTTAGAATTATTAGCCATAGTCTGTTTAGATAATTTGTTTGGTTAGAATTATTAGCCATAATCTGGGTTTAGACTGGAATTCCATTCAGTTATTCATTAACTTAAATTATCCTGAAAGTGAATTAATTAAGCATTAATTTGATAACTGAAAGAGAAAATGAGCATCTTATTGATCAAAATTACACTAGGGGTTGGGGTTAGGGCTTAGTGGTAGAGTGCTTGCCTAGCACATGTGAGGCACTGGGTTCAATCCTCAACACCACATAAAAATAAATAAATAAAATAAAGTCATTGTGTCCATCTACAACTAAAAGAAAAATATTTTAAAAAATTACACATAGATGCACACATTTCTAGCTTCTTTTTAATAAAAGTTTTATAGCTGAGCATTATAATAAGTCACTCCACAAAGTCTGTCCAAGCTGTTTTTACTGATATTCTTCAATCAAATGATAACTAAGGTTGACCTTCCTAATTCCAAGATCCCTAGTGATCATAGATTATTCTTGCCTTCTTCGTTTACCTGTATGGCTTCCTTATCTTTCTTCACCCACTCCCTTTCCTTTCTGCATCAAGAAAATTACTATGTTATTTTATTCATTCAACAGATACTCATGAAACACTGTTGTGATTTGGGTATGAGATGACCCCCAAAAGCCCTGTACTAATGCAGGAGGTTAAATTATTAGATTATGATTAGCCATAACCTAATCAATAGATTAATCCATTTGATGGATTACTAATTTGAATGGTCTAACTGGGTGGTAACTATAGGCAGGTGGGAGGAGGTGGGTCACTGAGGGTGTGCCTTGGGGATTATATCTTGCCCTCTGGCTCCTCCCTCTCCTTTTTGCTTCTCAACTACCTTGAGGTGAGCAGCTTTTCTCTACCATACCCTTTCACCTGTTCTGCCTCACCTCAGGCCCAGAAAAATAGTATCAACCCACTATGGACTGAACCTCTGAAACCATAATCCAAAATAAACTTTTCCTCAGGTTTTTTGTCATATGAAGAAAAACTAACAAAAGCACCAGCTGTATACCAGGTGTTGTGCTAGGCATAGGCAACACATAAGAGTAGAGACTGAGCAAGTTCCTGTCCTGAAAGAGTTTACAGCCTGGGGGAGCCAAACATTAAAAATAGAAGCATTTAAACAACTGTAAAATACTAATAGGAAAGTTCCCAGTGGGAGATTCAACCATTTAAAGAAAATCCAGAGTAGGTTTCTATGAGGAAATGAATTGAGCTGAAATTAACAAGTTACTGAGGCAAAGGAGGAGTACAGGAAAGGGATGACTGTAAAGCAGAGCAAACAATTCTTACAGATCCTTTGTGGAGGAAAGGGGCTTGACTTGTTAGACAAGCTTTTAGAATGGCATTAGTCTTACAGTTCACAGAAGAGAACAGAGAGTGCTACAAGATAAGGGATGAATTGCTAAGCAGGTACTACCTCACTTGAAGGCTAGTTATGAGCCTGGATTCTAAACCCACTGGAAAGTTCCAGAAAGGGAGAGAGCATACTGACTCCAAAGAGGAGAATGGATGCAGAATTTAGAAGGCTATTGCTACCATCCAGGCAATGGTAGCTTAGACCAGAGTATTAAGAATAGAGATAACGAAAAATGGAGGTAACCAAAAAGGATTTTAAAGTTACAACATCAGAACATGGGGATGGATTCTATTAGGGAAGTCAGAAAGGACAGTTTCAAAGATGACTTTTGGAGATCTGATCTGGCCTGTACAACTGAATGCACAGTAGGTGTGCCCTTTTTTTAAAACATAGAGATCATATACATTACCTGTATACAAGTAAAGTAAAGAATTTGTATACAAGTAAAGTCTGGTTTAAATATTTACTCAGAGCAATTTGGAAGACAAACTCGTGTAAACCTACTGTAAATACTTTTGTGACTAATAAATAAATGCTAGGAAATAAAATGAGTGGAAAGGATACATTTAATCAGGATCAAAACATGACCCTTGAGAGAGATTTTTCAGTATGTTTTGTAGTATACATTTAGTTCCTACAGGCAAGTCTGTTTGCTGCAACAGTCAAAACCCAAAGTATTTGATTGAAGCATTTTGTATCAACAGCCAAATATATTTCTTTGGGCAAGATTGAATTCAATTAAAGTAAATTAGATATATAATACAATACAAATAGAAAAATAATTAAAACAAAAGGGTTTTTATTCTAGTGTATTTGTATCATTTTCTAGTTCTGATTTTGATATTAGGCCACCTTAAATTCCATTTTTACTTGGCCTGAATATGTTTCTTCCCCGCTTTCAGTGAACCACTTAACAATAGTTTATTATTCTACTGTAATCCATTTCCATCTCATGACCTTCTAATTAGCTTCAGACTAGCCCATAATAACATTGCTGCAATGAAAAAGTAGAACTTGAAAATCCTGTGCTGTCATTAAAATGCCATAGTGACCTG